AAATTTTACTTGGTACAAATCAGTTGCTTTGACAGACTTTTGTAGTCAAGACAATCAATTTCATTTGCAGACTGTATCAGAAGGTGAATAAGCAGGAGTTTGGAGAGCAAAGTGGGGAGGGAATGATAGCGGCTTTGGAAAGGCAGGTAGAATCCTACAATGCAGCCTGTAATGACACCTGCGCCAAGCTTAAAATATCTTCAGCAGGAACACCACTTGTAGCCATTTGTTCCCCGTTGATGAAACAAACACACAGTCTCTCCAATAGTGGAGAAATGTGTTTTATGGATTCATCTGGTAACATGGACCGGGAGAACTGCAGGGTGTTTCTCCTCCTCACACACACCTGTGCAGGTGGTCGTCCTCTTGGGATAGTGATAACCTAGTCAGAACATAAGAACACAATTCGTGAGGGACTGGAGCTGCTGAAGTCCTTATTGAAAAATGCTGCCTTTGGAGGGCGAGGTGAGGCAGGCCCTCGTGTGTTTTTGACAGATGACTCAAAGGCAGAGAAGGGAGCTATAGCACAGGTCTTTCCTGAAGCCGCACAACTGCTCTGCATATTTCATCTTCTGCAAGCTGTGTGGAGGTGGTTGTGGAACAAAGAACACGAAGTTGAGATGAAGGACAGGCAGACACTGTTCAGCATAGTAAAAGACATGCTTTATGCCAGGGAGATGAGTACAGTTGAATTACTCTACTACTCTATCAGAAGTACTACTAAATATTTAAGCTACCTCTACCTATCTACTATTTTCTCTACCTGACAACCCTTTGATTGTCAGGTAGAGAATGTAGTAGATAGGTAGAGGTAGCTTAAACCCTGGCATAAAGCATGTCTTTTACTATGCTCCAGAGGCCTATTCTGAGGGTTTTAAAAGACATGCTTTATGCCAGGGAGATGAGTACAGTTGAATTACTCTACCAGTAAGCCCTTGACAACCCTTTGACCACCAGGTAGAGAAAATAGTAGATAGGTAGAGGTAGCTTAAATATTTAGTAGTACTTCTGATGCGTTTACGCTCCAGAGGCCTATTCTGAGGGTTTTATTGTATTGTATTTATTCTTTACAGTTTCTTTTGTTACTCATTACAGATACAGGAAGTTCCTGACCTATCTACCGAGTCTTTACAGCTATAGGAGGGACTTGCCAACACGTGGCAACCAAACAAATAACTATGTGGAGGCTGCAATGCGTGTCTTGAAAGACAAAATACTTCAAAGGACAAAAGCATTCAACCTGCCTCAATTATTCAACCTTTTCATCACCCGACTAGAGATGTACTATGAAGCACACGTGACAGACGTTGCACTTGGCCATTGGGAGGCATTCCACCGGTCAAGATTCCTTGCTACACAACGTAATATCAAAGCATCTGATATTTCTCAGGTAAAATGTAATTTTTAATTATGAATCATTAAAAAAAATTGTTGGTTAATTAATGCTCTTTACTGCTGGGATGGTTAGTTGAGCAACAAGTTCACTGTGCATCTCGATTCTCACAAAGATGTGTTCTGTGTCCCAGTGTCCTTCCGAGTTCATTCTTTAAAGCAATAGCCTGGCAAGACCAGTCTACGCTAGAATGCAAGTCCGTTCTGTGCATTCTTATAATTGAGAAACATCCAGTATGTCTGTATTTTTGGTATTTATGTCACTGTTAGGTTGGAGAAAAGAAATTTCAGGTGAGATCGTCCACATCAGGGCACACCTATACAGTGGACATGGAGTTGGAGCTCAGCACTTGTCCACCAGGCAGCAGTAGTGCAAAATTCCAACATCACCTCCATCAACTTTCTCCCCACAACAGCTGAAATGAGGGCTGAGCTGCTGAAAATAACAAAAGGTAATTATTTCTTTGTAGCATAGGTTGTCACACACACTGACTGATGCTGTTTTTAAATACTGTCTTCTTTAGATATTTTAACTATTAACTAATTATATGTTCTGTTCATCATCTTCACAGCCTCAGTTTCTCTTGACTTTCTAAACCCTTTACGGCAAAATATGCCAAAGCCAAGCACATTAGCTCCAGGTAAGAAAGTTCAAGTGGGACATAGAAACTTGATCATATATGCTTAATTCTTAACAAAACAACTAGTACAGCAGTGCGACATTAGTATACATTTGTTTTAGACATGCCTCCGAGGCAAGAAACCTGCACTACTGATCATCAGCATTATCTCAGTGCTCAAGATTGATGGTCAGTATAAAGGGAGGGATGGTGCTGTTTTTTTTATGTATTTTTCTTTTCTTTCTAATGGTGGCATATTGAACAGAAACACTCTTGTAACATTTCAGTTTGTCTATCTGTATCTTATGAATTGTAGAGTCACATCAGCTGGACCTGTCTTCCACCATCTCTGCACAATTGCGCCAAACATCACCTATGCAAGAGGACTCATACTCCAACCAACCCTGTGTACAGGGTAACTCAGAGGGAGGTGAGTCCATGAAGCTTAGAGTTACATTGAAAATTCTGTCTAGATGTTTATTTGGGCCCAAGCACCTTTTTCTAATTTTGTTCCCCCCAATGTTTCGGGGCATTTTGGGGTCCTTAAAGGGATAGTTCACCCTAAAATGGTTATTGGTTGGTAATCAAACAGTTGCTGGTAGCCATCAACTTCCATAATACTTTTTCCATCCTATGTAAGTTTGGAACAACATTAAGGTGTAATCAAACAGTTGCTGGTAGCCATCGACTTCCATAATACTTTTTCCATCCTATGTAAGTTTGGAACAACATTAAGGTGAGTAAATGATTAAATGAATTTTTTTTTTACTTTGCACACACGTTGGCATAGTCTGCCATTTGGTAATCTTGCTTTAACTTCTTTGGTCTTTAGTGCAAGCTTTTTAGTTTTAGTTTTTTAATTAAAGAAAAAGTCATTATTATAACTACTATAGTTATAATAATGGCTTTTTCTTTAATATTTTGTATTTTGAGGGGATCTCCTGCTACTAAACAATATTCTGTATTAAATTATACACCATTTATTTCTGTAAAAAAAGAAAACTATTTTTTTTAATTAATCCAGTAAGTTAAAAATAGGTAAGTTAAAAGAGTAATTTAATTGGTATTTAAAATACAATAAATGGAGGCAGATTAGTAGAAAGAAATACATGCAATCAAGTGCAATACTTTAGTATAACCACTAGATGACTGTATAGGCCTATATTTAAACAGGACTGTGTGATCCCTGTTGTTGAGAACAGTGTTTTCAGACAGAATTACTTTTATTAGGCATTGCATTTGGGTATACATTTAGATAATATCAAACCTTCAAGTCATACTATCTTTTTTCAAAGTTTGGATTCTTTGAAATTGAGTCTTCTGTCAACTAACTGCAAAACAGTCTCCAACTCAGCCTTTTACCGCTCTCTCTCTCTGTGTGATTTCTGTGTTACACTCATGATGTTTCCAATTCTGTGTGCTTTATTTTCTTTAATTGTGAGGAGTTTTGATTTGAAGTGTTAATTTTGATTTTATTTCACAAATCTGTTCTATTACAGTCACACCAGTTTATATGTGTGTGCATAAATGTGTGTCTGTGGTTGACTATTTAGATTTTTTTTGGCATTTAACTGTGTTTTTTTACTGTTGTGACTGATTTGTAGATTAATCCCCTCAGAAAATGTTCTGTTTTTTCCATTTTTTATTAGTTTCCTGTGGACTTCATTTTAGACCCCTAAGAATACAAGTATGCCTATATTTTATGATAATTTAGCCTTTAGCTAAGTGCTACCAAAATCAACAAGTACTTATCAAAAGTAAACAGATGTAAAAACAAAAACAAAAAACAAACAAACATACAACTAACAACCAAAGACTAGCAGATGGTTAAATGCATGCAATGCGGTGTTTGGGTCCATCATCACTGATTGAAGCTGTATTCAGTTGTTTATGTGGATAGACATTTCTGTCACATAATTTAGTTTCAATTGACAACCCTCAGCTTTGTTTCCTGGTATCATCATCAGTACCTTGGGTGTTTGTTGTTATTTAATTGTTTTTATTGTTGTCTCTTTAAACAGCACCTTTACCTCAGTCTCCTGTGAGACGGATGCTGGGACTGCTCAGTGAAATGGCTGAAAACTCAGACTACAGTGATGCCATGACTACAATGGCCAAGCAGCTTGAAAAGATGCAGCACAACCCGACCCAAATGATCTCCGCATTTTACTGCTTTGAAAGGGATGACTGTGTCAAAACGTGCAGCAGCGTGTGTATATATATATATAATTAAAAAAAAAATGTTTTTATTGCGTTTGCCAGTTTTTGTTCTGTACAATACATAAGTGTAGTTTTCTCAGTGTTAAGCTACTCTGTGTGTGTTTTATAGCAGCCTATGTTATGTAGTTTTATGCATAGTTTTATGCACTATTTTTATTCATTTTATACACCCTTTTATTTAAGTTGTAAATTGTGTGTACAACGTTTAATTTCTTACACTTGTGTGTCCCTTTTGTGTTTTGGAGATTATATTAAAATTAGTTTGTTTGTTTCAACGCGGTGTAGCCAATCAGCGCTGTGATATAGTTGACCAATCAAATCGAGCCAGAGACATGAGTCATGGCTGTGGGGTGGGGTTTTCGCGTAGGGGGCGTGGTCTGTGCTCAACTGGTTTGGGAAAAGAAATAACGCGTTTCAAAAATCTCTCTCCTCTTCGATTCGATTAGTTTTCTTGTATTTTCTACACATATTCCCATCATGAGCGCCGCAAACACGGATGGACTCGTCTCATGCGCCATTCCAGCTGTTTCCAGTTCGCGCTCACCACACATTGCTGCCGTTTTAAAGGAACACACTCCAGACAGTTTTAAAGTTGTCCCTCGTCTGCTGAACATACTCGGACAAAACCCTCCAGTTTTAAAAGAACACATTCCAGTCAGTTTCAAAAATCTCTCTCCTCTTCGATTCGATTAGTTTTCTTGTATTTTCTACACATATTCCCGTCATGAGCGCCGCAAACACGGATGGACTCGTCTCATGCGCCATTCCAGCTGTTTCCAGTTCGCGCTCACCACACATTGCTGCCGTTTTAAAGGAACACACTCCAGACAGTTTTAAAGTTGTCCCTCGTCTGCTTCGATTCGTTTTCTCCTATTTTCCACACGTTCCCGTCTTAAGCACGCAGTCACTGATTTCGTCGCACACAGAGCCTTTCACGTTTGAACTCACGTGACTTGCTGCATGCTCTCATTCACATCCTCCACATTTATAACCCAGCAACGTCGGGTTACTTATTACTGATATCAACCCAAATTGGGTCAAATCAAGCCAGCTTCCTAACCCAACAGTCTCAACCGACCGTTTGGATTGAAACAATTACCAGCGTATTTCATATATGTAGGCTATAAAAAAGTACACAGTAGCTGCGTCCGAAATCGCATACTTCCATACTATATAGTAGGCGAAAAACAGTATGCGAGGCGAGTAGTATGTCCGATTTCATAGTATTCGAAAAACAGTAGGCAAGAAGCACCCGGATGACCTACTACTTCCGCCCGAATTCCGTAGCATGCATACGATGGACACTTTACTATCCCATGAGGCCACGGGAGAGGAGGCGCCATATTCGAAAATGGCGGAAGGCGCGACGCGGCTCTTTTCAAGTGTAAGTACCTCAGGGAAAAACCTTGTTCATTGTGGTTAAATTGCACTTGTTTAGCATGATCTAAGTGAACGGCTGACCTATTGAAAGTTTAAACTTTGTAAATCGATGAGATGATTTCGTGAATCGGCTGTAAAAAGATGTTTAATCGTTGTTATTACTGAGCACATCAAGTTAACGAACAGATCGAGCTAGTGTCAATGCTGTTGTACATCAGCTTGTTAACTGCTTTTTTAACGGAGATGTTCGTTGTTGAGCAGTTTAATGAGATTAGAAAATTCCACAGACTTTAAAACATTTTTTCCCCCTCTTTTACTAATATTTAGTTTTATTATATATTATTATTATTATTATATTATATATTATTATATTTTGTTAGCTACATACTAAGCTACTGTTAATAAATATGCCACAGCCTGTCAATGAAGCATTAATGGCTTGAAAATGACTAATGGTTACTGCTTTGACATTACAGGGACTGATGAACACACTCCGCTCCTTATTCAGTGGAGAGTGGCTAATGAAGCCCTTCACTGGAAAGCGTAATGCTGCCATCAAAGGTTTTGAGTAAGTAAACAAGTTATGTAAAATGTACTTTTATTCAGGTGCTGTTGACACTGAACGTAGTAAATACTAACACTTCAAGCAAAGGTCTTACTGCCTTCTTTTTATGCTTGATTTCTGTGCATTTATTGTGACAGAGCAGGG